GTAACGAAATGTGTGCTCGTTCAAAACGTCATGTGCAGTGCATCTGCCGTCGTAGATCTGACCGATAGGATGTCACGTGTGACTACCGCATTAGAAATATGCCTCGAAGCTTCACAAGGTGAGCTAAATACGCATGTCTCTGAACGGCTTTTGGACAATTTGAATGTTGGGAAAGTAGCGGCCACGACTTCGCTTAAGAGCGACAACAACAAGTTAAAAGGACGTCATTATCGACGAGCTCATGCTTTTATGTTCATCCTACGCCAACAGGACGATGCCGAGTACAAGCTAGTGATGATGTACATTCGATAGACGCCGATATATGCTGAAGGATGAGGACCACAAAAACACGAATGATCACTTGATGCTCATGTAAAAGAAGCGATGGACGTATACATCGCTGGTACAGCTTTGGCGACGCACAATGGTATGTCTATGGTAAACCTTTAATATTATTAGAAACGGGACGTAAAATCATGTTAGGCACCAATGCGCCTTTGTACCTCGATATGGCCGGCAAAACTGACATCACTGGGTCAGGGATCCTGAATATAGAGTGCATGTAAAACAGCGATACTTCCAGTGTCTGATATCGACTGCCAGCCAGCGACGTCAACTGCGCCAGTCACCGCACGAACCATTTTACCAGAGTATCATCGCAAAGAAGAGCAGAGCACAAGCGCAATGCTGCAGAAGGTCCACTTACTCGACGCTCGCAAACGTAAAAGTTAAGTTTAAAAAATATGTTTAAACTGTCTGGCGTAGCGCAGCTTAAATCCTTAGACACTACGTCGATGGTGGATGTATCGCCATCGTTGGACGATTCACATTTTGCTAGTGGGTTAAAGGAGACACCACGAATATACTAATAAATGTATCAAAGTACATTCTTGCATTAATGACACTGATAGAGGATGCCGCGTAGCTCACGCGCGCGTTCGTTTGGATGAAATGAGTCAACATACGTCAAGACTCAAGCTTTTTTTTAAAATTGTACCAAGCGCACTGGGATGTGTCTATATTAACGGGTTCTTGCTAAAAAATATTGAGCGAGAATTTTTTTTATCTGCTGGCCGCTCATTGCGCGCGAACATCATATATTGTGCGCGTTGTTTGTGATATTATTGCCTGTATAATCCAGTCACGATAATAATGTATTTATTACGAAAACAAAGTAGCTCAAAACTATTGCTATCGTCGGATTTTGTTTTACATAGACATTCGCCAATGATCGTATGATATAACGAGATGATGCCGTTACAGAGTGGGCTATTGTGCTGTGTAAATTATCAGCGTACACGTATCACAATATATACATAATGTAGCTTGGTCTATACATCATGTTTCGGATGCAGGTACCGGTGATCTTGGCCTGCTCGGAATTTTAAATCAAAAATGGATAGTACCGCGTCGCATGAGTTATTTGCATGTTGTTATTGAGACTTATGAAACCATGCACAACGTGTATCCGACCGGATACTCAAATAATAGGCAGGGTGAAAGGTCGAAAATAATACTATCTTGGCCTGCGCGATCTAACACCACAGCCGCGATGACACCTGTATTTTAGTTGATTCGATTATTACCACTACGTGGTAAACACTAGCGGCAAGTTGATGAGATTTTGATATATATAGTATGAGTCGGTAAGCAGCTTCATCAAAATCAATAAAATAGCAAAACTCTCGAAAGCTTTCGCTAGAAAAATATGCACAATGTGAGCAATTTTTACTTCAATGACCGAATATAAAGCACCCAATTTTTAAACAACGTTTTCAAAAGCTATTTTGCCTTGCTAGACGAGCTCGAGCGTTTGATCTCTCGTATGGTCACGACTCTTCTTGGTTGGTTGGTTTTGTGAGGTATATTCGGGTACAAACGACCCACTTTATCCGGTATTTTTAAGTATGGTTTTTGAGAGGTAGTGGTAGGTTTTTCAGCTACTGTCGGGTCAAAGGCAAATGGAAAGCGCAGTTTTGAAGCTCGCTAGACGGAGAAAGATAACGACGCGTGTCTTGTGACTACCGATAGCTTTCTGTGCACTAGAGACGATCAATAAAGCTGCTAGGGATTGATACAACCAAAGACAGCAAGTTGTCAATCGCTGCTGATGCCACTAGCAACGTAGCAGCACAAACAGAAAATTGTGTGGCGTTCTTGTTGAAGAGCGCAAGTTCAGTGTGGACGTGAGGTCGACGAGGCGCTTACGAACGAATCGTGTGATAAGGCTGTTCGACGTTTATATTGACAGATAAACATTTAGATCAACCAAGCTCATTTGAAGTCGGACATTACGCAAACATGCTGACGATACACCCGTGACTTAAGGTTTGTATTGAAATGTACATATTTAACGCTGTCCTCCGACCACATACGTCGGAACGGCCGGCCTACTGTACTTCTCTGCCCCTACACTTTTTAATTGTTTAAAACATAAAAATATACTGTGTAATTGGATGAAATACGTTGCTATAATTCTATTTGCTCTTTCGTCGTTTACGAAAACTAAGGTAGGTCGGAGAAGCGACGATATTCATCCGAATCACCTTTTCACAAAAGAACGTATTTTCTTTCATGCTTCGAAGACCTGTCGGATTGAATTCAAGCAGGATAATCATATGTTCTCGCGTTATGATTGCACAGCAAAAAAGTGGGTTTCTAGCAGTTAATGTAATGGTGTGAACGGCTCATTTTAGAAAGTTGAACCGAACAAGAAGGGAGGGTGGGGGTCCTGGCGAGGGCTGTCAGTGCATCAAGTAATCGGTGCAAGACGAACTGAGTGCTTGCAACGACGGTAGAGAGACCATGGAATGAGATTCACCGTGACGCTCGCCAGCTTTGTTGTGCTCATAAAGTATCTCTGCTGAGTAGTGCCAAGTGCGGCGATAGAAACTGGACATTACTGGGTCGACAAGATCAATATGCAGACGCATGGTACTATGTGGTGCTCAATTTGTGCGACAAAAAGATGCGACCTACCTCTTTCGCGCACTGGATGTCTTTACAACTTGGTGTGGGACATCGTTGATCTCAGATTACTCTCGCAATCAATGCAAATGTTGCACACATCCTATAGAATAGCCTCTGATTCCTTTTTTCTGTAGTTGTAACGGTGTCAGCACGATCCGTGCATTTTTGATTAGTTTTGTAGGACAATTCTTAATATTATCGTCGCGGATATGTTCAACAATATAAACTTAAGCGATAGCAACAAACAGCAGCTGGCAACACGCAAAGCGCATGCTGGCTTCGTCCATTGTATCGTCCAATAGCGTCACTGATAGATGATGGACGCCCGCAATTAGTGGTGAGTAGGCAGTCGTCCTGCAAGTGCATATTTGGATACCAAGTAAGCAGGCGGACAACAGATTTACAACAACTGATCTTAGTGTGCAACTTCCACTCCATTTATCCCACACAAACAAGCGTCCCGAATCGCGGTCTTCGCTTCCTCGCACAATCGGGTACGTTGCTCGACCTAATGCCGAGCGATCCACGTACCACAATCGCCAAATTCATGTATGACGAATTTGAAACGGCTGGATTTAGGTGGCTTTGCTTCATCAGCCAGTTACGTAACCGACACAACTGCAGAGGAAACAGCATCTTCATCAGCACAAACTATGGCAATTCCACTCAGCATTTGTTTCTGTTGTCGGCCTCTCCTAATGAAGACAATTCGTCGAAATTGCCGATGCCACCAGACTTATCGCGCCGATAACAATGCAACGAAGATGAAAACAGCCTGTGCAACCTTGCCAGTTCAAAGCACATAACGACGCCGCCTCTTAGGCTTACATTTGAATAGTATTTGATACAATAGCGGTGTGTATGTTTCACTGACCCTTTTGCAAACCCGCTTGCCTTGTCATATCTGCGCGCCTTAGCATATCCTTGCGACATACGACTTCCATCATCCGACTCGTTCGCGAGCTTACTTGCCTGACCCGTCATACTTTCCAGACATGGTCTCATAATTGTGTTCTTCATAGCGCTCAGTCAGGAAGCGGATACAAACAGACTGCTGCTGAATTCAATCACATCACTATGCTAACACCGTCAAAGACGGCACAACTGCTACTTACGTGACAAAGACATCTTGCCATGTCACGCAGCTTCTCCTCGAAGAGTACGATGTTTTGATTGCACTGAGCAGTTTCTTCCTCGTGACTCGATACACATGTCTTGTAGCGAACCAGCTGCATCGGAACGGTCGCGCTCGACTCGTCACATGTCAGTAGCTACGGTACAGCAGGACCTGCTGACGAGGCGGATCCTCCACCACCGGCATCCAGTACCACCGCATGTAGCGCAACGACAAGTGCGATCAGACGTGTGCAACCTGCCGAACGGCCCTCGCGTACTGGCGGTCATTGAGAAATCCGGACCAAGTGCGCGCGGCGCCAGTGTGCCCGCAGAATGGCTGCATGCCCGTCTTTGTCGCTCCACTTGCAGTGCCCATCCCGGTCCGTGACATTGGTCTGGCTCTTGGCCGAATGCCAGCTCCATCGGGATATACTGAGAGGGGCGCTGCTGCATCGTGTCTGCCATGTTAAAGCCCTAGGAATCCAGTGCCAGTGAGCTCCGGTGGGGTAAAGAGGTGCGGGCGAATCGTCGTGCATCAAACACGCGAGAATGAAGGACGACGAACAGACACTCTCGAGAACCGGACATTGGCAGCGTATGTACGGAAGCGAGAGAGCCCGAGACCAGAAGATATTTCCACGCCACGGCGACGCGAGGCAAACGTGATGTGCTGTCCCCGTTGCTCGCTTGTGCCGCCTCGCGAGCTCTTTTCTTCGCTCCTCCGGTGGCCACTTGAACATCAACCGCTTCCACCTCAAGTCACAGCAGCCGCGCAGACGCATTCGACCTGACACCAACGCATTTGCCCGCTCTCTCAATCGCTCGGTCTCTCGATCTCACTCTCTCACTCTCTCTCGATCTCTCGATCTCTCGGTCTTTTGGTCTCTCGCTTGATATCTCCTTCGTCCGCGCCAATGCCACTTTCGTTCGAAGATGTCATGCGCGTCGCTACGACTGTATCGACGCTGTGCATGTGCATCAGTCCCCTGTCGACGGTAATCCGGTTCCATCTACGCCGCAACGTCGGGGATGCGGCTGTTCTGCCGTACGTCACGCTCTGGGTCAGCAGCCACATGTGGTACGTTCGCACTCAATGCGCATTGACACACACGTCGTACTAGCAAAGACCCACAGTATCTCGGAGTAGCTCGACCACCAACACCTTCTCTTCTGTGTCTTCTTGTTGCGTCCACAGGATGCTATACGGATGCGTAATTGGCAACATATTTCCCGTCTTCGTCACGTACGCCATTGGCGACACACTCAGCGTTGTCTTCCTCGCTGTGTACATCCGCTGGACAGCTAACCGCAGAGCTGCCATAAAAACGTGTGCCATCGCCTTACTCTGGATCGTTGCGGTGACCACGTACGTTGTGCTATGCAAGACCGAAGTGCTCCAGCAGTCCCAGCAAACGCTGTCGCTAGTAATGGGCTCGGGACCAGTTGCAGCCTGGTGCTCTACGCGTCGCCCCTCGCTGCGGTCAAAGTCGTGCTGCAGACAAGGTCGTCAGCTTCGCTGCCATTCGCGCTAATTCTCGGGGGCGGGGACTATCAACAACTTGATGTGGGTCGTATATGGAGCCACCGTACCCGACTTGTTCATGATTATTGTAACGGGGCACACCCTTGCGTAACTTAACGCAAGGGATTTGGGTGCCCCGACGGACGTACACGTGGCGAGCGAGGAAGCGTATGTAGGGTAAAAGTAGAACTCTTATATTAATAAATTAAGTCTTTAAACTACTGTCTCTTCGTTTGACTTAATTCAATTATACTAATATAACTGCATGTATGGTGACGTCTCGTCACCACTCATTGCGCGCGTCTTGCGGCGATTGGTGGGTTGATATCATCACGATATCAACCAATGAACAGACCCTTTGGTCGACCCTTCAATATCACCACTTTGGTGATATTGTTTAAAGAATATCCATCTTATATTCTTTATTGTCACTTTCCTTAAGTTACAATTCCATGTAACGGGCTGCCCCGTTACATCACCCCCCCTTAACTGATAGTCACCGTGTGACTATCGAAATATGGAGGCCACCCGTTGGCCACCATTGGGACAGGGAGCACTTGTTTGGTCCGTTCCACTCACTTTCCGCTTGACCTCGCATAGTTAACATGTCTGTGCGAGGTGACTCAAGACCCACACAGCCTGGTGCTGTGCAAGCCTCTGCGGCAGACGCTTCGTCGTCTGCCGCCCCTTCTTCGCCTGCAGCAACAGGTGCTGCAGGTGCACGCGGTATCACGCCGCGTGCGCACGATGACCCCGATGTGGAGGTCATCTACTCTGGCGAGTCAGACGTGTCTGACTCGGGCAATGCTTCAGAGGCGTCTCGCTCACCGGCGACGCCTCAGTATTCGCCAAGGCCACTGCCGAACGAACGGACTCGTGATTCGCATCACAGTCTGTTCGGCAGTGATGACGATGATCAGGGTGGTGAGTTCTATTCTTCACCACCGCCGGCTCGTGCGTCTTCGCACGAGCGTGATGACGATGGCGCGAGCCGTCGTCAATCTGGGAGCCGTGGTACCGACAAGGGTACCACTGTGAAGCGTGATGAGTTGAAGCCGTGGCGTTTGCCCGAACAACTCATCAATAGCCTGTCTCACGAGACAGGCCAACACCATCGAATACCCTTATTCGATGCGACTGAGCTTCACGGCTTGGATCCCAGCGCGAAGAACTTTCGCGCTGAAGAAGACTTTTATCTCGATGTCTTCCTTAGACATCGATGGTACAATAGCAACCAAAAGCGTGACAAAACATCGCTTTTGGCTGCGTGGAACGCGTTCGTCCAAAACGTAAAGAATTTTGGACGAGAAGGGTGGCTCAAGAAACTTGAGGCAACACGCCTCAGGTTCGAACGGCAAACGCCAACCGGTGCTAGGTACCGGTTGCATTGTTTATCGAGTGAGGCAGGCATTCCTTGCCTCACATGGGGAGACCCTTGTGCGAGTTGTGTTGACAACTCGCAGCGTGCACATAGGGATGTGTACTCCCTAAATTCGCCCTGGGGAAGGGCACATCTCTCGGACGAGATGCGTGACGCGATTGCAAACTTGCAATCCGTCTACAAGCGCCTAGGGCGCGTGTTTACCGATGGGCCACAGGACTCATCGGATGGGTCTCGTCATACTGGTGGACGAGACCTTCAACATCCATTAACAGCTGAGAGCGGGGCTCCCAGCTGTTCCAAGAGGGTGGATACCCCCGCCACTGGACGAGGTAGCTCGTCCTTGATCCTGAATCGTCACGGTGATTCAAGATACGCTCCACTAGAAAGCGTTGATCACCGTGAGCATCCACCAAAGGATGTGGTGGAGGAGGAAAGACCTCCTCCAGAACCCCAGGCCCACCATCTCGACCCTTACGAGATGGATCGCGCAATCGATGAATTGCGCGATGACTTGAAGCACGAGCGCGACCGACGCTACGCTTTGACCGACACCGTGCGGAAGAACCGCAAGGGTCACGAGGCTGATCGGGCGAGGGATCGCGCCGATTATGCCACGGCGCAGCTTCAGGTCGAGCGGGATGTCCGCTCCTTTTCGGCGAGCTGGCGACAGCTCGCGGAGAGATAACTCGGTTGAATACCGAGGTATCATATCTGCGCGACCAGACGGATCGTCTGGAGCGCGAACGCAAGAACTTGATGGATGTTCTTGAACGTGGGGGCTATCTTCATCGGAAGAAGAAGGCTCGTACTGACAGTACGACCTAAGCCTCCCCACGTAAAACGTAGGATGCGTGCGCATCCTACGTGGCAATTCGAGTGTGTATGCATTGCCCTTGCGATGCAACACTCGAAATGGCCCAATGTATTTCGGCAGTAGTTTACTACTGCCGACACTAGTGACTGCATGTCCAGGTAGGTTTACCGTTGACAGTAGTACTAGGTCATTAACCTTAAATGAAAGAACATTTGCTCTTCCATTCTTGTCTGCGTTCCGTTTCTGACGGTCCACCGCATTTGCGATGGAGTCCTGAACGAAACGGACTACCGCTTCTCGAGTCAGCAGGAAGTTCTCTGCTGACTCTTTGTTTTGTCTAGCAGTGCGCTTCGTGCGCACTGCTAAGAGATTGCTCTCTTCTTCAGCGAGGTTGTCTTCTTCCTCGCTGGCATAATCGTTGACGATGCTGAATATACCAGCATCGTCATCATCATCCGAATCAATAATAGCGTCTTCGCTATTATTGAGATGATCTTCTTCATCGATGTCGACTTGATCGACATCGGCATCATACGTGACGACGTTTGCGTCGACACGTGATGAGCAAGAGCCAAAACGGTTTTTGCTCGAGCGAGTCCCTCCCCCCTTATCCAAGAGTCACACTCTATAAGGGTGGGCACACGTGGATGGCGTAGGCCATTCACGTAAAACGGTGTGTGCTGTGTTGAAGCATGCACCGAATTATTGATGGCGAATTCCACCATGGGTAGGAATTCGCTCCAACTCGGAAACGAGTGGACATATCCTCGAAGAATCTCTTCGAGGACACGGTTCGCACGTTCCGTCTGACCATCTGTTTCTGGATGGTCAGAAGTGGACATCTTCAATCGTGTTCCGAGAGTACGGAACACGGTTTGCCAAAATTCCGCCGTGAACCGAGGGTCACGGTCGGATACGAGTTCACGGGGTAACCCGTGGAGTCTAAAGACCGTGTCTAGAAAGACACGAGCACAACCTTGAGCCTTGATTGACTCAAGGACAGCAGCAAGATGGACCATCTTGCTGAATCGGTCCACAAACACAAGAATACCATTATTCTTGTGAGCGTCTTCGGGTTTCCCGAAGACGAAGTCCATTGAAACGGACTGCCAGCACTCTGACGGAACAGGCAGAGGCTGCAATGGCGCACGGGATGAAGGACTAGGCTTCACCCGTTGACATACTTCGCAAGCACGGATGTACTTGCGAACAAACTGATACTGGCGGGGCCAGTAAAAGTCGCGACTTACCGTGAGGTAAGTCTTTTCTCTACCACGATGGCCGCTTGTTGGGGCATCGTGACACTCATACATGATGCGCAATCGCAAATCATGATGAGCGGGTACGACGACACGAGGCGTGTCGTCGGCAACAGCTGTATAGTACAGCAATCCGTTGCGTGTACTATGCCGATCCGATGAGGATCGGTACAAAGCCGGTAAATCCCTCATGGATTTACTGGATGGATTCACCAGATGATCCATCAATCGCAGAAGATCCTTATCTTCCGCGTATGCCTTTCGTACGTCGTCAAGTAAACTTGACGACGGGACACTGACTGACAGTGTCGCAACAGTGGGCTTGTCCTCACTGTTGGATTGCGCGTCCGGCTCGAAATCGGGCCGGCGCGAAAGAGCATCCGCGACGACATTGAGTCGTCCCGGTTTATACTCCACGGAGAAGTTATACTCCGCGAAGAAAGACAGCCACCTCGCCATTCTTTGCGAGAGGTGTGGGCTGTTTACGGCCGTGAGTAATGACGCATGGTCCGTGTAGACAACAAACGGTCTATCTCCCAAGAGATAGACGCGAAATTTAGCCAGTGCGTATTTCATGGCAAGGAGTTCCTTGTCATGCACTGGGTAATTACGCTCAGCTGCTTGCAGCTGACGCGATTGATAACAGATGACGCGCTCCGCGCCATCTGCATCGAACTGCATTAACGCACAGCCGATTGCGAAATCGCTGTCGTCACAGACCACATGAAATGGTCTGTCCTGATCTGCAATCGCCAAGATCGGCTATTGCATCAAGCTTTGCTTGATACCTTCAAAGGAACGCTGGCACTCAGCGTTCCATGACCACTTGACATTTTTCTTGAGCAAGCAAGAAAGATGTACCGTCATCTCGGCGTAGTTGCGCGAGTACTTGTGCAAGTACGCCGCAAGACCAAGGAACTTTCGAAGTCCCTTGACATCGACTGGCACTGGCCAGTCGGTGATCGCCTTGATCTTTTCGGGATCAGGGCGTACGCCGTGTTTCCCCACGATGCACCCAAGAAGTGGTATTTCGCTAGCCGCGAATATACACTTCTTGAGGTTGGCGTACAACTTATGCTTGCGCATAAGTTGAAGAACCTGACGAACGTGAGTTCTGTGAACTTCAACGTCCGTCTTCCCGTCCATAGCCCGGCTATGGACGAACACATCGTCGAAGTAACTCGGTGCGAAGTCTCGCAACGGTCTCAACAGATTTGTTACACATCTGTTGAATGTTGCAGGGGCATTACTCAGCCCCTGTGGCATCACTAGCCACTCCCACAGCATCCCGCTGGGGGTACTCACTGCTGTGAACGGGACGTCCCGTTCACGCATCAGGATCTGATAGAATCCATCCATCAGATCCATGGACGAAAAGATGGTACTCTTTGACATACCATCTATGATTACGTCCTTCCTCGGTATCGGCGTCTGAGCCGGTACCGTTGCAGCATTCAACTTGTTGAATGCGTGCACTATCCGCCACCCTCCTGTGGCCTTTCGCACACAGAAGGTCGGAGAGCTGTGAGGGGATGTTGATTCCCTCACATGGC